TTCTAATGGATGCAGAATGATATTTGTATTTCTCTAAATCTCAATCCATAGTTGCCTACTTGCCTTAAACAAGAAGGAAGAAACAAAAACAGAGAGCAACAGAAAAACGTAACATCCTAAAAGTTTAAAGAACAAGAAACAAGTGAAAGTGGATTTTAGGGTTTATTGTGTGAATTCGGGCGAGGGATCGGTGAGAGAGAGAACTTCATGTTGTGGTTGCAGCCGTTGTGGTCTCCACTTGCCAAGTAGTAAGTTTGAGCCTTACGGAGAAGCAACTTAAACCCTAATAATGATGAGCTCGAGGAGTGTCCTCTTGCTTCTAGCTTCTTGCCTCTGGTCACATCGCATCTCCTGTAACTCTTCAAGTCTTGGAGCAAGTAGACATCGTTGTTGACGTTGTTGTTTTGCTTCTTGGATTGGGTTTGATCATTGTTGTACTTGAAGACAAGAACATCGTTGATGTAAAACGGAGCATGCTTTGAAACCCATTCTTGGTAATCGAATCCATTCTTCCACACGGTAACCTCAATCTTTCTTCTTGACGATATTGGAGTCGTGTGGCTCTTGTGTGTAGAACCAGTGCCGCTTGAGTGGTTTGATGGGGCCGTGTGGCTCTTGTGTGTATAACCAACGCTGCTTGAGTGGTTTGATGCGGACGTTTGGTTGTTGTGCGTAGAGCCAGTGCCGCTTGAGTGGTTTGAGCCCGAGCTACTTCCCCAACCCCAGTTTGTATCTGTTCCGTTCGAGCTCCAACCCCAACCAAAGCTAGAACCATCCGAGTTCGAATCTGAACCACCTGAACCCGAGCCAGAAGAACCGCCAGAGTTGTCGGAGCCCCATCCCCAGCCCCAACTAGAACCGGACTGGCCAGAGCCCCAACTCCAGCTCCATGCCTCAGCTGTCCCGGAGAAGACGCATGCAGTCAAGGACTAATAGTAGCTTGCGTGACCCAAAGCGACCCATTGCTTCTTCTTCTTTAATTTGATTAATGAATCTCTTTTATC